ACTGTGAGGTCGTGCACCCTTTAATTGAAGTAATCTGGGCTGAAAGAAAAGGGTTTTTTTAAAAAGTGTTTATAATATCAGTATGTTCTTTTGACAGTGGTGACTATACATCATTTTTGAAATACGGAAATTGCGCTGGAAACATCAGTTGCCATAAAACATTTAGAAGGAAGTGTTAATCTATCAAAATTAAGTGTAAATAATTTAAAAATCCAACTCTAGTATTTCAACTGTGTAAATATATTGAATCTGCAACACACTAGTGAACATGTCATTTTCAAGCACAGCTTTGATTTTACAAAAGGTAAATGAAGATATTTGAAGTACAAACCAGGGCAAGCAAGAGGAGTATTTTACTCATAAAACTAACAATGACAAAAACGACTGGTAAAATAAATGGGAGGTGATTGTCAGAAAAAGCCAGCAGCTCCCAGATTTGCCTGCAATTTTGTGCCTAGTTTGACCAAATATTCAGATTTCTAATCATGTAACAGGGACGAAGGGAAGTTCATTCCCTGTAAAGTGCAATAAAGTAGGATTTGAGTCAGAGTAGCTTGATTTAGGCATCGGATCAAATGTTTAAGGCTGAAAATAATGGCAGATATAAGTCCAGCCACTGTCTTTTTTTTGCCCAGTAGTTCTCGGAGGGCTGTGTGCAAGGCACAGATCTTACTTTGGCACTTGACCATCTGCAGCTGCTTCACTATAGCCCCTAGTGAGTTAGTGTCCATGAAGTCCATCTTAATGAAGTAGAGGAAAGGGTCTTGAGGAATATAAAAGATTTACCCTGCTTAGCATGGAGCTGTGTGCAATGTGAAACAGAGAGCAAGTGGTGCATGTGCTGATATTTGAAAAGATCTGTGCTTTAAACAGCCCTGTCTAAGAGACTGTGAACTGTGCTTGGAGCTGGCTTGGAGTGCTGAGCGCTGTGGAGCGCGGTCAGCTCACCGCTGGTTGTTCCTATAATAGAAATGCTAAAGCCTTTTTACCTATTTATTTCTGCCTCCTTTGAGCTTTGGGCTTACTGGTATGCAAAAGGAAAAAAAAAAGAGCATATGTTCGGTTGCTCAATCAACCTTTTCTCAGTCCACACTCGGTGATCTCAGTGAGTCATTACGGCATAATTACAATTTGAGTGTGGTACGCTGTTTGTGATTTTTAGCTGAAGAAACACTAGAGTCCCTGAAAGGAGGAGAAAGGAAGAAAAAAAGGAAAGAAGAAAATCTGTAACCAGCAAATCAATGCTATTGTTAACTGATATTACGAGACACCCTGTAGATTTACAATGCTTGCATTCGGCCACATAAAAACCGCGCTGAAAAGAATGCCTACCAGGGGTTAAATTCATATGCCTGCGCTGCAGCCTATTTCTGTCAACAGTCAGCTCTGGAAATAAACATTTATGCTTTCTGAAATGAAAGTGTATTTTTGAAGACTAGCCGTCAGATATTTTTTGCCCTTCACACTTTCAAATGCTTAGCCTTTTTTGTAAGTTGACTGCAAAGTGCATCAGTTTGCTAGGCAAAAAGAGGAAAAAAAAATCTTGACAAGTGCCCATGGCATCATTGTCAAGTGCACGAGTGTCTAGTAGAAGATGGCAGGAGAGTTGGCACAAAACATGCTTCCTTCAAGCTTCTTACCTCAGGGGTACCTGACTCTTGAGAAGCCTTTCAATCCTTCCAAATGACGTTACTGCAAACTGTCATCTGGTTTGTTTGGAGTGCGCCGTATCGCAGATAAACATGCTATTTAACTGCAGGTCAAGGTACAGAGTCATTCTGCTAGCAAACGCCTGAGATACATTAAATGGCATTGACTTGAGGAGGGAGACCGAGAGGGATCAAAGTTGTCACCAATATGGTACATGCTAAGGGGGGGAAAAAGGGTACACAGCATTGTATTTTAAAAAGCCATTACGCAGTTCTGCATTTAAAACAATGACCTGCAAGACTCTTACAGATTAAAAAGCCACACAATGCACAACGAAGTTGAAAACCACACCGTCATGCAGCATGGAAAGAGCGTGCAGTTGTGACTGGTAAGGCTACCACCAGTCCAGAAAGCTGAGACTGTATTTGCATCTAATTTGGAGAGTTTCTTAGAATAGTTACCCTTTAAAATAGAGCATGTCCACTTGTCATGGAACGTGGCTAATCTAGGGGATTCATATAGGAAAATCTCAGAGAATCTGAGCAGTTTGGCATGAAATAGGTATAACCTCCTCCAAACAATTAAAAATATATCTCTGTATGTAAATTCATATGCTTGTGTGTTCTATTCTTCTAACCGTGACTTGCTGAACAGCTATTAAAAGGGCACTGATGTGATACAAGAGGCGTGCTGGATGCTTTCACATTTTCTGAAAAATCAAAACAAAACCAGATTAATTACAGCTTGATGCAGCTTTACATTACCACAAGGGATGCCTTTAAAAGTTAAAACATGCTTTCACTGAGCAGGCTTTCAAAGGAAAGTTATTTCAATCAGGAAGAAAATAATCATGTTTATTTGATTTATTGTTGGAGAGCAGAACAGTGTGGTTTATATATGCCAATTTTTCTATAATGTAAAAAATTTCTTTTGATTTTTTATGTGTCATATAAAAACAATTAGTATATTTACTGCTCCAGAATGCAGATTTTCCAGGAGTGCAATACAATAAATTATAGGCAATATCCCATTTCTTCCCCCTCACAGGGCATATGTAATTTCCTTTGACTGTGGCACACAACAAATGTTATAGAAACATAGCGTTATTTATTTAGAAAAACACAAAACCCAACAATAAACCTACTAAAATAGATAAGTAAATGGAGGAAGGAAGTTGGGAGTTTTTACACAAAAAAAGAATACAGAGAAATTGCAAGTTAAACTTTTTTAATCAAAACTGATTTTATTGCTTTTTGCTTAATTAAACTCCTCAGAAGAGTGTGAAACATTGTTATACCTGAAAAATTGTTAATTTGTAAATCACAGGGACAAAAGGGCTCCACTGCAACGTTAAAGTTTCTATGCACGTAAATGTCAATAGAGTGCCTTCTCCATCATCAGCACTAAATTCACATTGATGCCTCTTTTCTTCTCTGTATTGATCCTTCCATGAGAACGTAGATTTGTATCTGTTAATTAATGCGTCCTGAAACAGCGTTTGTATTAATCAGGCAGATAAGAAAAATTGGATGCCTGCACCCTCATGACAACCGTAAAAGTGCTGGCCCTGATAAAATCATGGATGGACCTCAATAAAAAAGTTCCTCCTTCCACTCAATAAACTAATCATCCTGCTTTTAATTATTCGGCAGAAAGATGTGTGGAGATTGGAGAATGTGTAAATCTATTTACTAACAGCAGTGTCTGGGAGGGAGAATGGGGCTGTCACAGGACGGTGCTGCAGGCTACGTTCTCTGTCCATCTGCTGCTGCAGAAAAACTGGTTCTTGAAAGAGAGGAAGGAACAGAAATGTTGAAGCTAATTGAAATCATGAATTCCTCCCTATAACCTTGCAAATTATTATTTCTTCTCCATTTCCCTCTTATTTATTTTAATCGCGATGTGTTATTTTCCATTGTCACCTCTTCAAGGGTTTCCTGTTGTTGTTGGCTCAGTTTTTGTTGGGTTCTTTTTGAAGGCAGAGAGCTGCAGTTCTATCACAAGACTTTAAAAAAAAAAAACAGTAAGAGAAAATGAAAACATGTAAGGAGGGGGAGAAAAATGAGAGAGCATGCAGCCAGTTTTATGTTTCATTTTTTATGGATGCCTAGTGGTTTGGATGTGGGGTTTTCTATTTTATTGTATTAGTTTTGCTGCTTAGTGCTGATAGAGAAAATCTTGTTTGGAGTTGATGCCTTGCCGATTTGCTAGTTTATGATATATTCCTGCTTGACTGTAACTCTCGACTTTCAAAACAGAAAAATACATTTAAGTGTAATTGAACGCCAGAAAGAATGTTCTTACAGCGGGAACCCTGTCAAAGGACATGTAAGCAGCTCCATAAACAACTAAATGAAAGCCTCAGACATGTCTTAAGACCCTTTAAGAAAAGCTTGACTAATCCCCTTGATGATTTTATTAAGTACTTGTAGTTGATGGTGCCAACTGGCAAACTCCTGCATTTCACCAACAGGCCAGCAAAATCACTTCTTCTCCCATATTGTTTTGTAGCTTTTAATGCGATTGAGATATTAGCAGTTTGATATAATAAACTAACAGGTACTGTAAACAAGAGTCTGAAAAGGTAACACAGTAAAGATGTTTGCCTTTAGTGATCCTATTAGGAAAGGCAGCAGGGGAAATAAAAAGAGCAAAAGTTACATTCATTAAGAAGCATTTATTACATTTTTAGTTGCCCTCAGAAAAAGGCTGGCGTGACTGCTATTCAGCTGGCACTTTAATATGCCACGCTGTTATTTCAACAAGTGCATAGATGTGGGAGCTATTACAGGAATAATTAGCATCTTTTCTGAGGAGAGTAGGTGCTACTTCTCTTTCTCCTGAGGTTAAAGTTCAAAGAGAATTTTCCTCTTTGTGATAAACACCTTAATTCTATTAATACATCAAATCTTCCCTTTAAAAAAAGGTTGAGTTTTTTTCTGTCCTAAATTATCCTTCTTGGTTTATGGTAATGATGAACTGAGTCATCAGATCCCTGTTTCACAGCATCAGGTTTTAGAACTAAGCATGAATATTTCAGAACAAAGAAGACATCATTCAAATTGCAGACTATCACTGGAATACTTCCCAAAGTAATATGATTCTTACAGAAAGAGCCTGCATATTCCAACTTGTTTATAACTTCATACGTTGATTAGAAAACATTTGATTTTATATTGATTTACTTTCCTGTAGTGGGATGGGGAAGAGAGGCACAAAAGCAGAAGGGAGAATAATAGAGTATGTACATGTTTTATCACAATGTATGTTTAAAAAAATCAAAAAGAGGAGCGGATTTCTGACAAATACAAACATGCTTAATATTTTTCCTGTATTTTTTTCCTCTTCAGGATTCTCCACTTTGTCTCTAGCTGACCAGATGAGCCTTCTGCAGAGTGCTTGGATGGAGATTTTGATTCTCGGTGTTGTATACCGGTCACTTTCTTTTGAGGATGAGCTGGTATATGCTGAAGATTATATTATGGATGAAGACCAATCCAAATTGGCAGGCCTTCTTGACCTTAACAATGCCATACTGCAGCTGGTAAAGAAATACAAGAGCATGAAGCTGGAGAAAGAAGAGTTTGTCACCCTCAAAGCTATAGCACTTGCTAATTCAGGTTGGCAGAGTGGCATGATGGTTGCTACATTTTTAATATGTCACTTCTTTTTTTTTTTTTGCTTCTCCATAATACTGCCTGCATGCTTGTTTTGAATGGTTTTAGAATAAGAAATTGCTAATCAGCCCTTAGTCTAAAAGGCATCCAGCAAAGCAGTTCAAACTAAGAAGAACTTTCTGGTTTTAAGTAATTGTGGAATATATTCCTAAGGGAGTAGACAATACTGCACTGTATAAGAGTATTTTACAGGCAAAGACCTCTTCAAATGAATATACACGTTATTCTCCTAAAATCCACTCCATAATCCAGGCAAGTCTTGATTATTGCAATTAAAACGGATGCATGAGACTATACTATATACATTCTCTTTAAAGGCAGCTCCTGATTTATTTGATAGGGTGAATTCAGGGTATGGGAGGAAGGAGGAAATTCTTCTTTAATGTCTCAAGGACCACACCTTACCTTACAGATGCTCTGCATTTATGAGCATGCTTCTGCAAAAATTATCACCTGTGCAGCAAGGGTTAAAAATCTCAGAAAGCAATTTTTTCCTGCATTTGAATTTAAAAGTGCTGAAGCAGTGAATACTGTCAGATAAGTAAAAATCGTTTGTGCTTTGTTGTTTTTCCTTTTGTGTCTCCTTAATGCTTTATTGTGATCTTAAGTCCCTTTTAGCATTTGCATAAAGTTCACGATAGATCCCTCTTTAATGACGTGCCGATCATTAGATACCTGTGTGTCAATAACATGCTCTGATGCTATGTTCCATTGACAGTCACGCCGTGCCCCTCCATCTGCTTTTGTTTTGACCCTATCTTTGAACTTTATCTTGGTTGCTGGCCAGTAGTTTTCCCTTTAATTACAAGAAGGAAACTGTCAATAAAATCTGTTAAATGGGATGCAATGAGTGGCTTGAATGGGCGGACAGCTATTTGTTCAAATTCTGCAGCATTCAAGGTATTGACAGTTTGTTTTCTGGGGCCATATGTGACGATCAATCTCAGGCTGGGCTCAGCCGCGCTGAAAAATGAAAAACCAGATTGCTTTTGCTTACTTGTGGATGACGACTTGTGATTTGGCGCGGTCCTAGTGAGATGAGACCTTCTGCCCAAATTGCCCCCCTGAGAGCCAGGACGCGTGACTGTTTTTAGAAAGAATTTTTTAATTGATTTTGTAATTAACAGTTCATCTACAATATTGATGCATGAATCCTCAGATTGATAGGAGGGAAATTGTTTTCAACAATGAAGTTGTACTTTCCTATTTGTCTTTGTAATGTGATTTAGCACTCTGCATTTTTAATTGGAAATATAATTCAAAAACATGCAAAGCCAAAATGCTTATTAGTTTCTTTGTAAAATATTCTCCACCTCGCTAACTCTGCCCTTAGTTTTAGAATATTATCTTATTTCCGGAATAAACAAAATGCTGAAATGCCTCTCAAATATCAGAATTATTTTTAATTGAAGATTTATTTATCATTTTTGACCATTGTAAGAAGACACTTGAGGATGCTTTGCAGCTACAAGAAGGATTTTTCTCAAAATTGGTCATGCTTAATGAACAGAGCAGGAAAGTTATCTGGAATTAGGAGTCCAAATTGAGAAGTGGGTTTTTTTAGCTTTTTTATTAATTCTGTAATTCAAAGACTGAATTAGAAATATTTCTACAGTTTCCTTGATAAAAAGGATAAGGGTCTAGAATATAGGGATATAGTGTTAAATACCACTGCCATCTTTTTTTCCCCCCCAAAAAAAATACATGCAGTGTTTAAGTAATAATAAAAGATGTTGCTGCCAAAAAAAGTTTAGTCATACATGGTGCATACAGTGTATCAAAATAATCTGTAGCTTCATTAACTTCGCTGGGAATTACTACCAGAATAATGTCAGAGATAAATACAGTTCAGCATACTAAAATTCAGGGCACGTTTAAGTAAAAACCTTTCCTTCTCCTCATCTTAAAGGAAGTAAAATTGCTATTTTAAAATGAAACTATTGCAAAGAGGAGTTAAAAAGCAGCCCAGTCATTCTACTTTGCTTTCAACAGATGTTTTGACGGCTGATATTCAACATTTCAGCTTCAGGTTGTACACGCAGCAGACACCAAACTTCTATCAGCTGTCGCTACACTAACCTGGAGGTGGAAAATAGCACCTGCAGAATTACAGCCCATTAAAGATTATCAGGCGCCTAGTGTTTAACTTTACAAATGCTGCTTAAATTAAAATAAAAGTAAAATTAAAATTTAGTTAAAATTAAAGTTTTAATCCTTTTTTATAGACAAACCCAGAAATAGCTTATTTTCACGTAACTATCAACTTGATTGATGTACATGTACCTGTATCTGAACAAAAAAAGAATTATGATGCCATGATAAAATAAATAAGTTAGCAATTCACATTTTAATATATTCGGTTGCTACATCTGCTTTCTTCTAAAACTTCCACTATTTATTTTTCTCGTTTGAAATATATTAGCCTTTTTATAGCTCTAGAGAGAATGGATGAAGTATAATAAGAAATCTTAGGCATTTCAGACATTTTTGCCATATCCACACTGTCTAGGAAGATTCCCAGGTTGACTCTACTGTAAACAGTAGACAAGAGATGGTTTTATAGCTCTGTATCTGTGTTAGTGATTTATGATACAGTGGCACAGTACTTTCCCTGCTGGTGGATAGAAGCAGAAAACAAAATTGTAGATTGTCTCCATATTGATTGTATTTTGTGTAAATAAATACCACTAGCTTTGTTTTGGCCAACAAATCTCAATATCGTGAGCATTCAAACACCCCAACTGCTAACTTTTCTTTAGGCCTACAGAGTCTACTTGTGCAGTACTGGATCTGAGATAATCCTGCCTTTTGCTTTCTAAAAGGTGGGGCGGAGGAGCCATTTTTCAGGGAGATGCTCTGACAGCCGTTATCAAGTGTTCCCTTTGCAGGGCTGGCCAATGCCCACGCAGCTTCCATAAATTTCCAGACATGCAAGGAGTATCAACCCTTGTCGACTGTCACTGATTTCAAGCAGTGCATATAGCATCTGAAAAGTTTAAATACATAGCAAATGTTGTACAGACATTTCAGTCCTGCCTATGTTATTCTACACAGGCATGTTTTCAACAGTTACGTTTCGCTTGTACTTAATATGGAATTTATCAGGTTAGTTTTAAACATCTGTATTGATCCGATAGATAATTAATACAGCCTTTATGCTTGAACTCCAGAGAAGTCCCTCTCACCATGGCGCTGCCCTTGCCCTGTCAGTATCATGAGTCCCTTCCATCTTTCTTTACCTTCCCAACACAAAAGCGAGTGGGTACCTGCAAGCTGCAGGATGCGGCTGCCCTGCATTCCACCTCACGCCGCCCAAATGAAGCAAGCTGGCACCAATGAGCACTTTGTTTACCCACGCAGAAAATCAACTTTGAATGGTTTCCAAAACATGCATGTACCAATTACTTCCTCTTGTGTCAGGGAAGGTGAAATATTTACCAAATATGTTCAAAGGGTACGCAAGTGCGCACACGTGAACACTCCAATGCATAAAAGATGACCTGCTTGTCCCTTTTGTATTAGAAAATGCTTTCAGGTATCGATTAGGCGATACTAAACAGGGAGTTGCAGGTGAGCAGTTTTTTGAAATTGCCTAATCAGTAATTACTAAATTGTGCCTTCAGGCCAAATGCTGCAGAAGAGTTTAGGAGTTGCAACTGAGACCAGATTTTTAAGAGCAGCCCAGTTCCCATCTAAGACCTAACATAAGGAAGTACAGTGTCAAAATACATTAGCACATTTGAAAATCTGATCTATGTGTATCTGCCTAATAGGCTGCTGGCATCTTGAAAATTCTGACCCAGATGTGGATGCTAGGCACTTAAAAGTATAACCCTGTTGAAAATTTAATCTTAAATGCTAATACTAGCTGTCTAGCCTGTAGCACCAGAAGGAGAGGAGGACCTCTGCTCACCATCGCAATTTCTGGTCTTTCTTATTAACTCAAAAAAAAAAATATCCACAGCATCCTTTCAGTACTGAAGGAGTGAGAACCAAGAAGTATCTTGTGCATTTTAGCATAGTGAAGCACAGATCGGCATTGATGCCAGTAAAGTTACATGATCATCTATCTTGGTAAGAAAAATAGCTCATTCTTCCAACTTATTCAGCTTTCCAGCCACCAAAAAATGTTCTCAGAGCATTAGGCTATCACCATTAAATAATATTATCATAATAAAAATTAATTGGTATAACCCTATAAATCGCTTGTGCCACAGGGCATCATCTTTATTCCCAGTATAGACTGTGGCTTATTCTTTGTCGTAACATACTATATGTTGTTTCTAATAATGTAATTTTTAAAAAATTAGTCATTTTGATAATGTTAGAATTCATTATTGAACTGTATCTATTGTGATTAGGCATATATAAAATATATATACAAACCTGTGTGGTTCTGGTATGTTACCAGTGTTTATTTTACCAAATGTCAACAGCAAGGCCTGTTAACTCTTTCATGTAATATTGTATAGACAGTGGTGCAGCATAGAAATGAATTTTTAGAAAAGGAATTTGCCACTATAGTCAGAGTTTTTGTGTTGCTTGAATACAGGTTCTTCCTCATATTCCTTCCATTTTCATATAATCAAATAGATGGCACCCACAGTTCTTAGAGAAAATAAATAACTCTGCTACCATTCGTTTAATGATGGCATTAAGCAAATGGTGGCAGAGTTAATTAATGGTTTAATTATTTTTTTCTTTTCTTTGTAGTTGGTCTAGTAACTGAATAACTTTGAGATATTCCTCACTTAGTTATGAAATAGGTGGATATAATTTAGGTGTGGGCAGCCTGAGACTCACGAAGGGCAAGAAGCGAGGCCAGCCCTGTGGCTGGTGGGGGACGGAGCCCAGGTTCCTCACTGTGGGGCAGGGCTGTAAACGGAGCGCTGTGCTGCGTCTGCCAAGGGCCCGCTCTGTGCTGACAGGCAGATTTTTTGGGT